CTCGAGCTTTCTCCCCGATTTTGATGGAGAGTTGCCGGGCCCTGGGTATACGTCTGTGGTTAAGTCGGTGGGAGAGGCCAGTGTAAAGCAAATGATGGTTGGTCCGCACCGAAGTAGACGAAGAAGACAACAGCTGTTGTTGCAAAAGCAGCCGCAAGAGGGCTACAGCTGCTCCTGTGCGCGCACGAACGCGACAATTATGGGCGAGCGCTATGCGCACCAAACTACATTGGGTATTAGAGGATTAAACTCATTATTTATTCCAATTCCAAAATATGAAGTAAATGAACATTGTGTCAACATGACAAACTCTTCTACAAAGAAAATTGAATAAACAAATAGTCTACAGAACAGCACACGCTTTGTCATACTGGTTAGATTTCTAATCTATTTAGTTTATGAATAAATTTAAACCATTAGAAATGTGTAGAGAATATAAGGAAGGAATATTCAATGATGATGGAATTCAGCTGTAGAAATGCTTAATGAAAGGATCAGGTAGGCAGGGTCATTCTAGAACCTCTGACATCCCCGTCGAATTCAAAAATGAGGCCCCTTATCCAAACAAACAAACAAACAAACACACACACACACATGCGCGCGCGCGCACGTGTACCTCATGTAGTGATAAATACACATCTACAAAGTAGAGCTGCATTACTACCAATAAATAAAGGACTTCAATGCCGAGCCCAGAAAGTAGAGGCCCCCAGGCGAATGTATTAATAATAATAATAATAATAATAATAATAATAATAATAATAATAATAATAATAATAATAATAACCACAACAGTAGACACTGAGCTTTCTGATGCTACTTAATATGGAATGTGAGACAAATAAATGTTCAAGATATCGTGGAGAGACAAACCACTCCATGGACAACGTTTAAGAACTCAATACCTCGCTGTGGCGTAGGTGTAAGAGCTGGTGACATCCCGTGTTGAACGATTCTACACCCGTTGGCGAGGTCAACGCAAGATAAACCGGCGGGCGATAGGTCACGTAGCTCGTCTTTCCCACCGCGCGCGCCGCGTGGGATTGCCAGACCCCACGCGATCGAAGTAGTCACGCGGTCACACGCAGTTCGTTGAATTTCTCGGTGCTGTTGCGTTGTGTTCCTCTCGCGCCAAATCTTTCGCGCGCTTCCCTGACTTCCTGACTGTTAGAATATCGTAATATTCTGTCTGCACTTCACCGTTTTCCATATGGGTGAATTACGAACACAAAGAACTTGGTAGCTCGAAGTTTGATACTCCAACAACTGAAGAGAAGATCCACAATTACTAGTCTTCCAGGAGAAATTCAACCGATGTTAACTAAATGCAGAAAACAAGAAAATCAATATACTATTCCCATGGAATCACAAAGCAGAAACAGAAAAATGTGTCAGTCCTGCTACAAGGAAACATGATTGTCGCACAAAATATGCTTGTGTAAAATACGATAATTTCTTATGTTTACCCAAACATATAAACATTATTTGTTAAAACTACGATATCGTAAATACCACTGCTAATATAAGAGACTAAGATTGAGAAATAATTGTGACTTACGGTTTACTATTAATTTACACAATATTCTGTTTTCTTGTTCCACAGCCTTATGTAAAATGAATCATTTATAATATACACAATAAAAACTAAAATTGATTCCACAATAAATATTATCCCAACATTCCTCACACAACTTACATAATAAATGTTTTCCAAAAGAACCATACAATGTAAAAAAAAAAAACAACAAATAAACATAGCCCGAGTCTACTGAACCCAGCGCGCCTAACAGCGTTCCACAATCTGGGTTAAAAGAGTGCGAACAATAAATGCACTAAAAATATGTGTGTTCGTGAATGTGGGGGGAATGAACCGATTGACAAAAAAATTGGATCAAATAATTGTACTACAAAATGTACTTATTTGGCTTATTTACTGTATTATACTTCTAGAACCTTATTATGAGCAATGCTTGAATAACTAAGGAAATGTGTATGTTTTTGAGTACATGTTAATTAATATTAAACAGTTTCTGTAATTAAGAAAATGACTATGAAAAACAAACGCGATTGTTGCGCAGCCTGCCCAGTAATCACTCTACACCTCCCACTCCCGACGCAGTTGGGAGCGGAGATCCGAGCACTCGCGCTTGTCTGAAGCCAGTTGGGCCGGCATTTATTATTTCAGAGCGAGCCGCAGATTAACGCATTGACCAATAAGACAAATATTACGTTGACTCTGATATTTGAACTTATTACAATGAAGCGGTGAACTTGATATTTTTAGCAATAAATAAATATAATCCTTGAACGGCGCGTTGGTTTTTAATGTTTTGAGGTCCCCTAAGAGGCCGTGGCCCCCGGGGCGGCTGCCGGGTTCGCCCATGCGTTAAAGCGGCACTGCAGGTGGTTGATGAAACAATTCGGACAAATGTATCCACCAAATATAATTCCAAAATCCCTAATCATACAACTCGGCGGCTAATCCCAAGTCAACATTATCTATTGCATAGAAACCGGAAGAGGTGGCTCAGGGCATCAACTGATGTCACTGCAGTGCAGGTCCTAGATTCGATCCCAACGGTAGTAGGATTTTAGATAGCTAGGTCCATTTCAGTCGTTATCTGGAGGAGAATTCTAGCTGCCGGCTGCTCTGATCGATAGTTTTCCGTGGTTTCTCCAATCAATACTAGGCGAATGCCGGAGCAGCGCCCTATCAAACGGGCCACGGACTGCGCGCAATATTTCCTTCCTCTTCCTTGTCTTATCCTCACTTTGTATTTACTCACACTTACACTAACATGCATTGTACGAGTACTGTCACATACGCCAGAACACCGGCCGGGAGCTTAGAGCGTGTCTCAGCTGGGGCAGTGCTTCGTGGGTGGGAGATAGCCGAGGCACCGAATCTCACCATCCAGCGGGGGAAGATCAGCGCCACCTCCCGAGAAGAAAGCATGCACTACATTTACGGGGCTAATGGCCTTGGTCCTTGGCAGTTGACGCGCCCGGAATCATAATAATCATAAATATAGTATAGGTGTGAACAATATATTTTGTAATAAAATTTATAATTAAAGTCGGAATTAGTTGGCGATATGGACTGTACCTAATGACAAGATTGGGGTCAATTTTTGAGTGAAGGATGGATGTATAAGTCAGGGGGGGGGATCCAAAGACGAAGGAGAGGGGAAATTCAAAATGTTTTCGGCAAATATGTATATTACAGATTTTGTAAAACGTCGAAGCTACACTCACCTCATGCTGCGATACGATTTCATTTGTTTTAATAATTATCCGAAAATAGTTTTGCTTGGAAGTTTTGTGACAAGTTAAAATTAATAGTTATTGAAAAATGTTAGGGGGGGGGGACTTCCCTCTTTTCTCCCTCTTGGATCCACATGTGTATAAGTGAGAAAATTTCTGACAACACCTCTTCCACAAGCCATTGTGTGGGTGCATTGGCGAGTTAACTGGCAATTTAATTGGATTCTAGAATATCAAACAATTTTGAATATTTAATCAAACTGGTATTACAGTATACCCTGGAAGAAAAAGTACTTCCTGTTTTGAAACTATATTCATCATAACTTCTTAATTTATTTATATTTTTTAAATTTAATTTGTTAATGAAATACTGTGTCAAACCCCTTTCCCCCTGTAGCGCTACATAATTTATGGATGGCCCCTAAGGCTCCCAAAAACCTGTTATATATTCTGTTAATGGACAAACAAAAGATAAGTAAACTAATTACCTCGCTTTCACAGTATTCGTTTTGAGTATCTATATGGAAAAGTACAACGAACTCCTGGCTTCTCTTACAACAAAACTGACATGTTTTCCCAACACAATTTGCAGGCAAAAATGATTTCCAGAAGAGTTTTTGTTGTAAAGTACAAGTGTATTACTGCAAGGGGCAGATGGGGCAATTTGTGCAGGTCCTGACAGAATTGAGGACTCAAATTTGTTATTTTTTATATTCAAAACAAATAAAAATTATTTACTTCTAAATCAAATTAATCTCTAAATGATTTCTATTGCATGACGAAATGAAATATGTTTATGTATAAATGGGTAGGGGGGGGGGGCTTTTGTCTGACATAAGGGCACCTCAAATATTCTCAAGATGCCCTTGATTATTGCCTGTTTACAAAATAAATTAAATTGTTTATAAACGTGAGTTGTAGTTACAATAACAAAACACACCCAATTTTGTCACATATTAAGATCTGTTCATTGTTTCAATACAAACAATGTTTTTCCTTCATATTTGATTCAAATCAGCTTGATAAATGTTAAATGAATACAGATCTGAACAGCGACTAAAATAAAATTACTTAATCAGCCTATCTAGCCCAAAATACAAATCCAACCAATACATCATTTACCAATGACTAGTTTTGTTTCATTGCAATTTCATTAATTTATTGTTTTTCACTTCATCCGTAAATAAATTCAAAATTCAACTTAATTTATGATGGTTAAAAGTGTAAAGACTAAGTTTTATGAAATGCTTATTTGAATGACGAGTGAAGAACTTAATAAATCTTCCAGAATGTTTGAAATGCGCGCTTTTCTTTAATGTGCCGGAAATCCGTATGCATGTCTAAACAACATGCCAACGACTTTTGTCTTCCTGATACAGACGCAGGGCGCGTTCTGAAGATCTACGCAATACTCTGAAAAATAATTCCTGTCCTTAGAAATCTTGAAAATTGGACATTGAAGTACTTTGAGACCTCTCGATTCTTTATCAATTATTTACTCCAGTTTTATTTCAATAAAGATGAAAAATATGATCATCAATTATGTGATGTAAGAAGTAAATAGGGAGAAGACAAATTTAAGAGACATTAATTTTCACTATTATTTTCAATTAAATGAGTATAAAACGTTTAATTCAACAATAATAAAAGAAAACAATTGTTTCGGGTACATATAAACATTCTTTGGGAATTTAACAATGATTTAACACTTCGAACAAAATAATTAATTGCACGACCTGATATTCGTTATAGTTCTTTCTATTTTAATATATTTTACGCTTCGGAATGAGTGAATGTGTGTTAATACTATGCCTTTCAATGAAACTTGCCAAGTAATGGGTGTGCGTAGATTTCTGAACTTTCTCCTGTGCCCATCACCATTACGGTCAAAGATCTTTCGTTGTGAATACGATGTGAATGTACCATTTCGGCCAGTTGCATTTAAATGGTGTACTAATAAGATTGTGCCCAATTAGTGAGGTCATCGGTTAAACTAATTGTCATGTTTTAGTGTGTTCGTAAGTGTTACGGAAAGAATCTGTTGACGTCATTTTATTTGACTCTCGTGCAACACCGGCATTTTGAACTGAAGAAGGTTGGGTATTGAATTTAGTTAAAAATGGCGTCAGATTCGCAAATGAAGAATAGGATGCAAGTTTTCAAGAACAAAGGGAAAGATCAAGATGTGAGTAGACCGTACACAACTGTTTAATGTCTAAACATTTTGTTTCTTGTGTTGTTTGATAAATGAGCATGTGTTGAATTGTTTCGGGAGCATGGCGTGATCTGGTTAGGCGAGCATGCCATGGTATCACGAGATTTGTAAGAAAGTCTTTTGTAATTGATTGTGGCCAAAAGTTTAATATTTTGCCTTCTTCAGGACTGTAGAACACCCAATTATGCCTTAATATTACGGCACTGAGGTGCAGCCTTCTTATAGTATGTAACCCATATATTAGCTGTGGCACCTGCAGGTGTTCAGATCTCTTTGTTTTAGAATGGTGAATTTCCCACGATCGTATTGAGGAAACGGCAATGTGTTTTTTATGATAGGGGATGTCAGTTTGTATTTAGTAAAGGCATATGCGAAGTGATTTAGATTTTTTGTTTGTTATGTTCTATTTTTTAATTTTCTGTTTTGTTTTACATTTAAGACTTATGAATTTAACTGTTTTAAAAGTGGCAAAATCATTAAATTGTAATATTAGCCTGAATAATTGAGGTAGTGGCAAATCTGTGAAGTTTAAACTGCATTGAAATGTATTTTTGTGTTTAACTTTTCATTTGTATGTTATAAAATCATATTGCAAATTATGATACAAAAGTAAATTGTAATACAGATGTGAAGTATCTAGCTCATAATTTGTCTGTTTCATTTAAAAATGTAATCATTGCTTGTAGTATAGTCCTTTTGCCATACTTTCTTCATTTCCAGAAAATTTTGGCTTGTTTATTGCCATAATATGTTTGGTTAAGGTTATATATATATATAACCTTATATATATGTATATATTTTTTTTTGTAACTGCAGGAAATGAGGAGGAGAAGGAATGAAGTGACAGTAGAACTCCGTAAAAATAAAAGGGAGGAAACCTTGCAAAAGCGGAGAAACGTGCCCATTCCAGATTCAACAGGTATGTAAATGTTTTATATAAAAGTAATATACCCTGGTAGTTTTTAAAATCTAATATGTTCTGTTTGATATTGCAGATGAGGAAGAAGTAGATAAACCAGTTACTGCAACAAGTTTGAAGCAATTAGTTGCTGAAGCAGGAAGTGACAATCCAGCAATCCAGCTTAATGCCGTCCAGTCTGCGCGCAAACTACTGTCATCAGATCGAAATCCTCCTATCGACTCTCTAATTGAAAGTGGAATTCTTCCCATATTAGTTCGCTGTTTGGAATGTCACGAAAAGTATGTAAAGAAATTGGTGAATGAAAGGCCATTATTAGATTATTACAAATTCTGTATTTAATTAAATTTTATCAGATATGATCTATTGAGGTATCAATAGCTTTCCAGTGAAAAAAATTGATTTGTGTTAAATTGTGGTTGTAGTTTTTGATTTACAATTTTGTGTTGTAGCCCATCTCTTCAATTTGAGGCTGCATGGGCGTTGACAAACATTGCTAGTGGAACATCTCAGCAGACTCAAGCTGTAGTGACAGCTGGAGCTGTTCCTTTGTTTTTGAATTTGTTGTTATCACAGCATCAGAATGTTTGTGAACAAGCTGTATGGGCTTTAGGTATGAAAAAAATGCATCAGATGTATTATAAAGTTATCTAGAAAGGGCAGTACAATAACAAGTATTCGTTTTATAGGTAACATCATTGGCGATGGACCTCAGCTGCGTGACTATGTGATTAGTCTTGGAGTTGTTCATCCTCTTTTAACATTTATTAAACCGGAGATACCCATTAGTTTCCTTAGGAATGTGACTTGGGTTATTGTTAACCTTTGTCGAAATAAAGATCCTCCTCCTTCTGTTCACACTATACGGGAGATTCTCCCTGCACTTAATATGCTAATTCATCACACAGATATTAATGTGAGTCTTGTAATGCCATGTATGCAATCTCATTTTATTTGTTTATTTATATTTATTTAGTGATCAAATAAATGAATTTCAGATTTTGGTGGACACTGTATGGGCATTGAGCTATTTAACTGATGGAGGGAACGATCAAATTCAGATGGTAATTGATAGCGGAGTGGTGCCAAAACTAATTCCTCTTCTTTCCCACAAGGAAGTGAAGGTATGAATGTTTTGTTTTGTACGTAAAGGTGCATTTCAAATTAGTGAAGAGGTAGAGCAGTGAAATTGCATTTTAGTTTAGTGTTTAATCAAGAAATGTGTATTTTCCTGTTTAATGTGCTTGCTGAATCCTGAAAGTATGAAATGAATGCGATATGTGCGAAAACAATACATCCAACTCTCCTTTCCCGACTCATTTATTTCTTGATGAGATGATTTGTAGTGAATTATGTTAAATGCTTGTAGGTAAATGCCCAATATTGTTTTGAGTCAAATTTTTTCCTGACTATTGCCTTTACTTTTTTATCTAGTGGACGGTGTTTAAGCTGTTTTTTCCTGTAGATTTGGATGACCCAATTTGAAGGAATAATTTATGTAAACTATCCAGCACCTTTGGGATGTTTATACTTCAAAAGCATTCTAAACTAGTTATGGAATCAAAAGATAAATGTGAGCTAATTTTCTCTAGCGTTGACTGATAGTTGCTAAGATATAAACTGAAGATCCTTTTGCAGGAAGTTACACTTTTCTGGAAAATTTATGTAGTTTTAGAGCCGTTTTATTTCATCAAAATAATAGAATATACACACATCCATTGAATTTTCATTTCAGTTTACTTCGTATGTTCTGTAGACGGTACCTCTGCTATTTACCTGAGGCAGGAGATAATATTCCGTCTACTTTCATAGTTGTATAAGAGTAATTTATTTAAAATTTAATGTTTTGAATTGGTGTCTTCTGAGACATCTTTCAGTTTGCAGTTGTATCATCAGTGTATAGTGTAAATGCTTCAGTCAAATGTAGTTCCATTGTGCAGCCTTTTGCATTGATGGTTACTGCTGCTGGTCACAATTGAGATTTTCTTCATTTTTTCCAGATGGAAATAATAGTTCAAATCCATGCCAAAACTTGAATGTATTTTTATGATGTTGGGAAAGTTAGTAACTAATAAAATTAAAATCCTTCACATTTCAGCTGAAGTGAATACTTTTTTTTGTAAATCTTTTCTTTTAAAGTAGCCATTTCTAAACTAATAAAATTAAGTAATAGTATGAAAAATTCCGTTCTGCTGATGTGCATTCAACTTTTATGTATTCAAATTGTAAATATTGATACTTCTGTAAATGTCATGTTAATTGGTCACTAATTGAATGTTAGTAGTCTTATAAATGTGAACCATGTGTTGCACAAGACATCTGTGAATTCTTAGCAGACTACTCTGATAAATCTTGAACAGCATTAACTGTGTGTAAGGAACAACACAAACACTACAGAAATACTTTCTTTTGGCAAATGTGTTGGTTTGGGAGAAAGAGAGTGGGTGGTTTATTCACAAATGTTTATATACTGACGTTTACATATTTTATTCAGACTTGTGTGCAATTATTTGGTCACAAATTTCTACCAAATCGTATTAAATAGAATAGAAATGATTTACATTAATTTCACAAACATGGGCTAGCTTGTGCTGGGGCTGTGATACTTCCTATTATTTTAATCACTCTACCAACTGGAGAAGATTTGTAGGAAAACTATGTATTTATGAAGCTAGAATGCTAGAGAAATACTACAAACATAAATTATTCTTTGATTAAGACCTGATGTGTTGCAATTTTAGGTGAATGTGAAAAGTGTGGGCCCTTTGATATTAAGAATTGTGGGATCTGTTTATTTTAACTTGCATTGCCTCACTTCGAATTTTTCTATCAAACAATTCATCTTCATACTTTTTGACATGGATTTGCATCAATTGTCACAAGATTATCTTTTTGTCATAAAATCAGAACAAACTAAATTTCGTATGATGTCTATCCCTAACATCACTTTCTAAACTCACTTCTTTTGCATTATTAATTGGTGCTTGGCTCTTCTACTTGCCAGAATAAAAAATTTTGTATGCAATCTTCAACAATTCTAAAGTCTTAGAATCTGGCAAAACAATCATTCACTGCCCTGAACTAAGCATGTGTTAATTTGTTGGAAACCCATTGCCTTCTAATAGCTTTTCTTTGCTGAATGAAAAGCAGCAGTCTTTGACCCAATTTCATACAAACTCGATGTCTAGCACAGTTTCATTGTACGCCAGCAATATGAGGAGTAAATTGATTTGAAGTTTGCCAGTTCATGTCCTGTCCTTGGTTCCCACCATGTTCCCTTGAACCACCAATTGTAGCATTATCCAGCAATGAGAACTGTTGGCTGAGATTTTGATGGAAGCGGTCATAGTATGAGGTGCTTTCCCATATTTTGAGTATGCCCTTGCAGGGAAATAAATCAAAAGTGGAGAGCTTATTTTATTCTACATGACATTGGAGAAATGTGCAGACGTTTTTCTTAATTGTGGTTACTTGATCTTATCTTTTGAACTATACCATGAAATTCTAGCCTGTGAGTTGTTAAGAAAATTCAAATAATAATTTCCTTCTTACATATTTAATAATCATTGACAGTTCAAAATATGGAGAAAATATGAAACAAAGGATATTTCCCCCTTCATTCTTGTAAACAAATTTGTAGATCTCTATACTAATTAGTCTGTGGATAATATGGCCTTTGTTTTGTAATAATAATTCAAAAATTTTATTTCTTTCACATCAGTGAATTTACAGTTTTTATCTTGGTCTGGGACTAAGTGAAAAAAAAGCAGAATCCAGAATTGAATTGAATTAAAAATTTAAGAAAAATAGAAATGTTAATTTCTATCGTATATTTATAAATAAAACATTTGAAATGTAGTGGTTATTGTATTTTGTAAGTTACCCTGAAATATAGTTACATGACAATTTTCAATGTTGTCTTCAGAAATTTTAAGCTACAGTAAAATATCTAAAAAAAATAATAATTTTGTATAGAAACATCTTTAAAATTTATGTATATTTTTTTCAAAAAGTTTCATTAGAATTGTTTCACGTACATATATTACTCGGATCACCAGGTTGGTAATTGAAAAAATATAATTATATTTGAAATTATTGTTTTTCTATGGACACAATTATCAGAAGTAAAGGGATTATATATTCAAATATAATGTGATATGACCTCCAAAATAATGAGCAGAAAAGTAAGAGTATAAGAGAATTGTGAGAACATTACATTATTTTCTTGTATTGAAATGAGTAGATTGGTAAGAATAGCTTTTACAGTATATTCATTGCAGGATCGACATTACTTCAACATGAAATTATTGTTCACAGTAGTTGCAAAAATTGCAATTACAGTTTCTCATATTGGATTTAAAAATTGTTTTTGGTCAATATGGTTTGATGTCAAAATAAGAGATAAAGTCCATCGGGTTAACTGTAAATTTTGCTCTTTTTAACATTGCAAGTTTTAACATTGGTTGGATAGAAGAGCAAAATTTACAGTTAACCCGATGGACTTTTGTAATCAGAAAAATATTAATTATAAATCAAGACTTTCAATTATATTAGGAAAGATGAGTTAAAATGTTCTGAAAAACTTTTTTTTATACAAAAGCTCAAATTTTATGACTGTGAAATTATTTTACTTACTACTCCTTGGCGAATTGATGGGTACTTGCAAATTGTTTCATAAAACTGAAAAGTTTGTTAGATTGGTATTCATTAAGAGGATCTTTTACTAAAATAAATTGTACCTCATTGAGGTACTGAAAGAGTGGAGGAAACTAGAATGGTTTTCCAGATGTTGCTGATGAGTTTCTGTGAACATTTTTGTTAATTTCTTGGCTGGGAGGATGCACTTTTATGAAGGTATATTTGCTGAAGTTTGTTGTAGGCAATCTAATTTTCCGTATGCCAGGATTGAAAATAGATATAAAATGTATTCAATTACCACATCTCCATAACAATAAAATGTTCAATAATCTAATTACATGAACTCTTTCTTTGTAGGTTCAGACAGCAGCTCTAAGAGCTGTAGGTAACATAGTGACAGGCACTGATGAACAAACGCAGATAGTGTTAAACTGTGATGCACTGTCACATTTTCCTGCTTTACTTACTCATCAGAAAGAAAAGATTTGCAAGGTTGGTGTAAACTTCAAATAAGGCTCTGGTGGTGAAGTGTATAAATTATCACACATTTTCTTGTTAATAGGAAGCAGTGTGGTTCCTCTCAAACATCACAGCAGGTAATCAACAACAGGTTCAAGCTGTCATTGATGCAGAACTGTTGCCAAAAATTATTGGCAATTTAACCAAAGTAAGTATGAGTAAACTAGCAAAATGAATTCTACTCTTTTGAGGGTATAATAATATTTATAATTAATCTTCAGAATTTTCTTTTCATTTATTGAGCACACAATTTACATGTATTTTTATATCAGTTAAAATAAAGCAACACATTCTGGATGAAAGGGAGGCACTTGATATTAGAACTTTCATTAAAATATTGTTTAAATTTTCTTCTTTAGGTTTCCCTTTGGGTTAATTATGAAAGGTATCCTAATGATTAAGTGCCTGTGGAGTGTGGGGGAAACAAATGCCTTGTACATATGTACATGCTAAGCTGAAAAGCAATAGTCTATCAAGTAGGGTTCGGGGGGGGACTCTGGTGTGTATCTTTTAATTTATTTGGATTTTATTGAGACATTTTTTAAAATTTAGTTCTTATAAAATACTGCTTTTCATCATTTAAATAATCAAACTAAAATTCATTTAGTATATGTAGTATGTATATAATCTTCCTTAATTAGTCTGGTGAAAAATTCAATTATGCCTAAACTCTGGTGGGGGTCCTTAAGTGCTCTGAAGAGTACCTCTATCTCAATGGGAAAATATTTCAAATTTTGTTCTTTCAATCTGTTTACAGTGTTAATATTAAGGAAAAAGTAGATTACAATTTTTATACACTGAATTTCTATGATCGGGTCATATATGTTACAGCACTTCTTGCAAACTATCGTCATTCTCTGCACATTTCTTGTGCACATGTAACATCTTGCTTTTCTAGTTCTGTTTCAGAGGATATTGAAGAAAGGGGAGTTTGCTTTGTGATTATACTATAACACAGTCATAAATCTAAATGCACACAAAACATCAAGGGAATGAAAAATAACTTACAGTAACACTACAGTGGGGTATTCTGATACCTTTTCCCCTTTAATTCCAAAAATAAACCTCAAATCACTTTGCACAACCAGTCAAAACTAACACAATGCCACTGAAGTATGCAGACATACATTACATGTAGCAAAGTTGCAAAATTAATTTTCATTTTGCTATAATTTAATATTGTATTTGCGGTTGTTGAAATGAAGTTAGTTGTCAGAACTAGCGGATGTAATTTGTATTTTACTGACAGTTAACTTCATTTTGAACTCGTTTGTATGCATTTGTGATTAAAATTGAATTTTCAAAGTTTAATTTGATACATACAGTTGTAAGTATTATTATTTTATTTGAAATAATTCAATCAGTCAATAACAATTAAGTAGGTTTTCAGATTTTTCAAGGTCTCTTTTATGTGGATAAAAAGGATGGTGTTTTTGGTCTCGGGGAAATTTATCCTACCTTGCTAACGAGCAACTAGGACAGTATTGCAGCTACAACTGTGTGTCTAAAAATTCCTGATGGCTGCACTGCTAATAATGTTTGTTGTAAGGCCACAGACTTGCAGCACTTATTAATCAGTAGTACATGTAAACATATTGAAATGTGAATTCATATCCTTTTTAAGATCGCAAGTTCCTACCAGTCAAATATTCTCTATTTATTACAGTTAGAAATTAATAATAACTGCTTGTAAATGTGAATGGAGAATTTAAAGAATTATTTGTAAATAATTGAAAGAGATTGAATTATTTCTTTTAAAAAACAATGTTTAATATTAAACTAAGATTTTCATATTACTTTTTAATTTCTTAAAATGGTAGTATGACTTTTTCTTTTTTTCTTTCTTTCTTTCTTTCTTTCTATGTTGAATATCAGTCCATATTGGCTGCATTAGAAGTTCATTTGTCATTGATTATTCTGTGGTTGAGATAAAATTTTGAGCTAGTGAGGCTTTTGATTATACTCTAACAGATAACCCTAATCAACAGCAGATTAGTATGGCACAAATCCTAGGCAGAGAGCCAGTACTTCAGTTGCAATGAATTTTTCAGCAGTTTTTATATTCATTTCTTCTCAGAATGCTTAGTGAGGTATAGTATGAGGTATGTGGTAATCATGTGATTCCTCCATAAATTTATTGTATTTACTTGAATATAAGACAGGGCTTTTTCCCAAATATCTCATTTGGAAAATGGGGGAGAGTCTTATATTCGCAGATTATGTCTAGTCGGTTGGGATGCAAGTTTTTACATTGATGTTCCATGTAACAGAATTTTAAATGTTGACGTAACAATGAACTGTTAAGACTAAAAATATGTACCATATCTATAATACGTTTGTGGTCATGTTCTTGACATTCACCGCAAATTTTGTCGTGAAATGAATGCAGCGATTTTGTGACATGAAGTAGGTTTGACATGAAGCGGTCTTATTTGTTGGATCAAAGGACAAAGCTGCATTCATTACCGGAGTGTGCTCTTTTGCATCGCCATTCCTGCTTTGTAATCGTCATTGCTATTAACCATCTTTTATTATTCATCTAATAGGAAAGAAATCTGGATGCAGTGTGCTTCATTGTCATTGAACACTATGTATGCAAGTTTTGCAGACTTTTTTATTCGCTTAGAACTTCAGGGTAGCAATGAAAATTACTACTGCTTGTGATTGATATTTTGACAGATATTTACCATTGACACAGTTGCTCTTGTCAATACCTTGGAGTTAACCCTGTCATTGATGACATATTGAACTTGGGACACTGCTTTGGCTTCTTTATTATTATTTTGAATGCTTTAAAGGGTGTGTTCAGAATTGGCAACAATTTTGCCTGAAAGCAAGTTTTTGAAGCCAAAAGTATGTAAAAACCAGGGCTGTCGAAACCTGAGTGTTGGTGCAGGTATGATCTGACTCACAAGGTGATGTATTTATTTGTACAGACCTTTATTGGATGTTAACTAAAAGCATAGGAGTTAGCCAGGACATTAAGTGAAGGGCAATTTTCACAATATCATCCAGACATTGTATACTAACAGCGATACTATTGATCCTAAAAGAAAACCTTATGCACATTAAATGTAGGCAATTTTATCCTTTCATTTCATCTTAATATTTATGAAAAAATTGATAGTTTTTAAGTTATATGGTGATAGTGGGATAATCCTTTTGTTTTGTATTTCGTGGTGCTCTCATGACTAAAGTTTCTTGGAGAAAAAATCATGATATTAATGTAAGTAATTTTATCATTTATTTCTTACAGGTCCATTATTTAGAAAAAACGGATGCCTTTTGAGGTATTTTGAAAGAACTTAAAAAAGTGAGATTGTTATAAATCTTTTCCTTAAAAACTTGTTTCTAGGCATAATTTTGGTTGACAAACCTGATATTCGTATTCAACTACCCAAAAAACGCGTAGGAACCAAATTTCAAATCTACACCGAAACTTTCTTTTATTTTCTGTTTGACTGGACTGTGATAAAAAGAAATTAAAAAAAGATGCTGTAAAACTAATCACATCTGATAGTGTTGGCTCTTGGAATAGATAGAAATAGTGATATTGTTAGTTAAGTTTTTCTTTGGGGTGTATTGATAACCAGCTAACGTAAAATTTTGTGTCACGGGTAACTTCAAACTAATTGGAAAATAATTACCCTCTAATAAAATATGCAATCAATTTGGACTGATATTCTATATAGAATGAAAGAAAATTGCAGGATCCAAGTAACCCTCACCTATATTAGTACTGCCAAATTATTGTTATGAAAAATGAAATGAGATACTAAATTTAATATTAATATTTTTCTAGAGTTTCTGATCAAGACTCCACTTTGATATTTACAAATTGTTTAAATGCTTTGTTAACATATATATACAAGCAACTATTGTTAATTTATAGATTAACAAATGGTTGAGTATTTGACTAGCAACAGGTGTGAATAATATACTTCCTAGATTGAGAAGTCATTGATATGGGGTGTTGTTCCCTCTCTATAACTAGGACTTATTTCTAACTTACCAGCCCACTTACCCTTTATTTTGACCTAACATATCTGATGTTTTGGCAGTAATTCCAGTACATAGCAGAACATTTGTAATTCAAACGAACAAAAAAAGTTTCTGCAAATTGTTTTTCAATGTACCGTTCATGATAATTTCTAATGCTTCCTTGGTCAATATAACTAGAATACAGTAGTCTCTCTCATTTTCAGGGTGAATTCCAAACCCAGAAGGAGGCTGCTTGGGCCATCAGTAATTTGACCATCAGTGGCAACCGAGAGCAGGTGGCTCGTCTCATCCAAGAAGGCGTCATTCCCCCCTTCTGCAATCTTTTAGATTGTAAAGATCCACAAGTTCTTCAGGTTGTTCTGGATGGCATTAACAACATGTTGAAAGTGGCAGGCTCTCAAGTGGAAGCTCTTGCTAACATGATTGAAGAGTGTGGAGGTATGGAGATTTTATAGTGAAAAATCTTGGAAAGTAATTTAATTACATTTTATTAATAATGTATTTACTTTAGGTTTGGATAAAATTGAAAGCCTGCAGAACCACGAAAACGTTGAAATTTACAAACTGGCCTATGACATTATAGAACAGTACTTTTCTGAGGATGTAAGTGTTAATTTCTTTGTGTTTTTATTCCATTGCTATTTACTATGCAATTATTCTAATGTCTTTGTGTTATTTGCAGGTTGATGATGATCCTAATATAGTCCCTCAAGCTTCAGATGCTGGCTTCCAGTTTGACCCCAACACTAGCATACCTAGTGAAGGTTTTAAATTTTGATCAGTGCCAAGTGAAAGAAGCTTTTTGAAACCAAGACATGTGAATCTGGCCAGCCTGGTGGCTGTAACTGCTGTACCCAAAAGAACTTCGGGATAAGATTGTAGTAAAGGACATTTATTAATAATCTGGTATTTACAGTTCACTAGCTGGTGATACCCCAAGCTGTTGTCATAATTTATTTCTTGTAAGTATAGTACACAGATGATTTATTGTATATTTTGACTTTTAATTCCAGTGAATATGAATACAGGGTTGTATAAATTACATGTGAAATGGATTATCTTCAGTTTATTAACTGAAATGAAAAATGAGTTTAAAAGTGAAAGTGGTACAATAAGTACAGTCATCACTACATGCTAGGCAGCATACAAAATTATAGCAAGAGAATGGCAGTGTTTTTGCCTTTTCCCCCACATTAATGAAGCAGCATGCCAATGTGTGGTAGGGCTCATTGTTCATCTTGCAACAGTGCATTAAACATTTAGCTGGCTGCTGGAATTTCTGCACCAATTTGACATATTCTTTTGTGGGGTGTCAACAGCTAATCATGTTACAGCACAAGTGTCTCTTGTTAACTCTAATTGGTGCTTATGAAAACTATTGAAAAAAAATGTGTCCTGACCATCAGAGCAATTTTTGTTCCTTGCTGGGAATTTTTATATGTAATATGAATATTGACTCGAGCTTTTAGCTCCTTGTGGACTGACTGAAAGCAGTGGCGCAGAACGATGAAGCAGGAATAAGCAAGAGGAGAGCTTACCCCTGCAGATTAGGCTGGTCCAGTCTTGTCAACTTGACCTGAAGTGCACCAGGCAGGACAACTACAGAAAATGCTCATGCTTCTAGTTTTCTTTGGTTCTGTGTGACAATTCAATTCCTGAACTGATGTACGTGTCAACACGGACTCATGTTAATCCAAATGTTACTTGTTAACTCATTTATTTACTAATGGCTTCTACACACTATGGGATTCAGGAGATGTTGAGATGGAGGAACTCTTTTGACTGAACAAGAACTTTCATTGATGTTCTTGAACTCCCAACCTGTGTCTCAATCATCTTCTTGTACATCGTGGTGTAGAGGTTGCAGATGATGCAAGCTTTGTTGCCATGCTTGCAGTCCTGTAGCCTCTGACTGAATCCCACTCATTGTGATTTGTGGTTGACTTTTATTTTTAACTAGGCCCCCACTGGTCATGAGACCAGCTATACAATTATGTGGATTTGTAGATATTTCAGTTCTTACAGTGGCAACAAAGGCTTTACGGATGAGAAGAAAATTGCAGTTTTATTTAGCCCTATTCCCTTCTACAGAATTTATATTCTTCTAATTTAATTATTGGCGTTGGATAATTGTATTGCAAAATAAATTTTAGGTGAGGTAAGTCTAATATATGAAGTTAACAAAACACTGTGTGCATCAGATAGCATTTCTTAAAACAAAAGGAAAACATCATATCAAATCATTAACTTTCAAAGAAATAGTAATACAGTGGATTCTTTTTAAGTTCCAATCCATCAAATCATTCATTTACATGTTTAATAATCCTGCTTGGCGCTTTCAAAGTTGTAGGCAGAGTTTGGTAATTTGCTTCGTAAAACTCTCATGTCGTTTCATGGTACTTTTGAGTATTTCACTATCTAATTCGAGCCAGTGTTTTGCTATATCCTCTGCGTCAATAGCCGTTTCTGTTAGGTCTGTGCCACAAGTGTTGCATTGACACGCATCAACTACAGGCATTATTGTGCTTTACTTAGTTTTTTAAAATGTTTGGGGAGGGGGTAATTTAGTTTTATTTAAGGTCATTTATAAATAAGTTCATTCTGGGATATTGGCGTTGGATTTACATATACACATTTTCTCTATTAGTGATTTGCTGATGAAAATGTGAAAAGCAGAAATAAATGGAGCACTTTTCATCAGCATGTTTTCCTATCCAAGAAGTTCCTTATTTTCAGTCCCTTGAGAAACATATTAAAGAGATTCCATTGCATTTATATTTAAATAGAATTTCTGTGGCCTTTGCCAACCTGAACTTCCAGGTCCACTAGGCATTTGTATCATTAGGTTGTGCGTGCTGTACATTCACAGAATTCTCTTTGTAGGAACCGTTGTTGCTTTCCGCGGTGTAGGCTTATACTGGAGGGTGCTGGAAATGTGACTGCTAGACGGAGGGGTCCCTGTGTCAGAGTGAGTCGTTGCACTGGTAGTCCAACAGCGCTGCAGCTCTTTCTGGTTGGGTGCACCTGTGGGAGCTGTGAAATAGGCATTTTGTATTGTAATTAAACAACTTTTTGTAATTGTGCTGACATTCACAAATAGATTGGTGTTGGGGTAATAGTTTTTTTTAGGGTAACCATCACTATGGGAATGGGATCTAAGTTTAAATGAAAGCATAGGATTCTGTGGGCAAGATTTCTGTTTGCCATAAATACAGGGCTGCAATATTTCAGGAATGATAAACATTGTGAAGTCATTTCAGAAGAAAATCAAGTTTAGGGATTTTGTGTATGTAATACTTAAAAAGTATTTTCAGTCCACGAAATGAATATAACTATTGGTTTAAAAGTTATTTCATAATTATTGAAAATAATTTATTAGTAAATGTGAACTTTGAAAAACTGGATCTCCAGGCTGGAGCCCAAGTGACTTCCCTGGGCAAACTTAAAGAAAGGGGGCTTGAATCTCACACTTATCAGACCAATTTTGGGTTTACATGTCTGTATTAGGAGATCATGTAGGCACAAATGGGGAGGATCTAAAAATTAGCTTGGGAGAGGGAGGGTCACATAAAAATATTTTTGAAATTGCACTCATTAAAACAATGTTTACAACATTTTATTTCATCCGTTAAGAATTAGAATCTGTCTAAGCAAACTCTACTATAAAAGCCAAAGAAATTCCTTCTATAGCTTTTAAAACCAAGAAAACCCGTACACCTCTTGGTTCACATCAGCTCTCATTTACAACAACCACAGAACTAAGATGGCAAAATAAGTTTTTAAACTAATTCTTAAAATTGTTCCTGCTAGAATGTTTGTGATGTATGAAAAGATGCTAAGGGGGCTCTAGTTCAAAAACAATAGTTCATGTCACCACCTTTACCTCTATATCTCTATGGGAAATATTCTTTTCTAGATTTACTATTTGAGTGTTAGGAGCTTATGTTTATGGTATTATGCACGAAAAGGTTTAATTTCTATGAAAATAACATTTAAAAGCAAAGTTTAATTAAAGGAGGATTTATTAATAAGGGATATTCGCAATAACTCGGAACATCCCATGAATTTTATAATACTGAACTTGTTAATAAAATTATTATTCGCTTAAATATTACCTCAAAATATAAAAGCAAGTAAATATTTTATGAATAAATTTGAAATTTCTTCAAATTTAGTGAAATGAAGTGTCTAATTTTTTTATTTGTCCCAAGGTGGGGGGGGGGGGCAGTTGACCCTCTCTAAATCCCGCCTCTGGCCCTCCCGGAACGATTCCATAATATATAGATTTTTAAATTTTTTCAGGCTTCAACAAAGCATTTTCTAACAAAATGTCTCAAGCGAGTGAAGCCCGTGACTTGAAAAAAGAAATGGAAAAGTTTGAACTTATTTTCCGCGTACTACATTTCAAAATACCAGCATCAACTAACACCGAAATAGTTTCAAAGCCCTGATTTTGATTTTCCAACGGGACAGAATCTACTCTATGAAGCCTACAATACGTGGAGACTGTTCGGAATCAATATGATGATTTGAAAAATTATGCAACAAAATTATTTAAGGTCTGGAATGTAGAAGTGAAATTTAGTGTTCAAGGAAACAACGTTTTGGCAAAGTTCGCGACTCGATGATGGTAAATAAAAATACAAACTATGAATGCCAATATATTTCCATTAACAGCTGACACTACGATTTGCTAAATTGAAAAATACTGCGGCAATTATCAAAGTGAATCAGCTTCAAGTTTTCGTTTCTCTTTTGGACGATGAAATTTACGTAGCATAGAAGCTTCAATTAAAATACCTTGCACATGTTACGGAAAACTTGTGGTCTCCGTTACTGTCTTTCAATTTCAAAACTAAGGTCTGTTAATGATCTTGGAAGCTTAGTAGTTGAACTTTGCTCATTATTAACAAGTTTCCCGCTGTGAGTATAGTTTTAAAAGATTTTTGACACTCACAGTCATCAGCGCCGAAACGTTTTTAAAATTAAGCTTATTAAAAATTATTTACGAAGTACAAGACCGACGGAGTAATGTAAGTATTTTATTAATTCAGCGCGGCGGTTTAAAAAATGATATTTTTACTGTCATTGATAAATCTATAAATGTGAAGAAAATACTATAATTTGATTTTTAAATTATATCATGAAATTGGAAAAATGATAGTTGATATGATATTAATTATATGATAGAATTTATTGAAATAAATGTTTTCACTCATAAAACGCAGCTTATAATCACAAAATTAAATTAATGAAATGTCTTTAATTAAGAGTCTGCCGTATTGTGCCGGTCCAAAAGCTCTGTGGAACTTAACGCCACAGGGCGGCAAGACTATCACATCATCAGAAATTATTAAGAAAAAAATGACTATAATGTCAAGTATAGATAGCCTATTGAAATTTTCAGTTGGTCAAGGGGCCCGATGATGGGACTAACGAAAAAATATTCGAAAAAAACTGAAAGAATAAATTAGAACTCGAGAAAATTGTTATCGTAATTTATAAGTCGCCATACAGTAGTATAATATTTCATAAAACTTTGAATTTACTTTTATTATAAATATTTATTTATAGTCATTATTAGGTAGGGCTCCATGAAATGAATCAAATGACTCTAACATAGGTTCTACTGAAATGTATACACATTATTTCGTATATTTAAATTGTGATTTGGTTAAACACTAACCTTTTTTTGCGTTTTAAGATCACCGTGGAAATTGTATTACTCGGATTTGATCACTAAATTATTTGACTTAAAACTATTATTTAAAATGTATTTCCAAAAACTTTATTATTTGTTGAAGTAAAATAACTCATACAGTTTCTTGATTCAACTCTCACATTTTTTAATTTTTTTTTGGCGGGAAAGAGCTAAGTTTCAGCATTGCCCCGGGCTCAAAATTGTCTAGCTCCGGCACTGGGGAGCTAGCCTGTACATACAATTTTCGTGCGCCTATGGTCCGATTAAAATAAGTTGCAGATTGACAGTTGCGTATATGAAGCTGTTGTTTGATAGAATATGAGTATACGATTTGATTACTTTCATAAGTATTTATTTCAAGCCTTTATTTTCTTGTCCTGGCCGACTGGATTGAATCGCACTGTAGTATAGTAGGATTTATTTACTCGTGCGTTTTACGTTAATCAGCTGTTAACGGTTTAATCCAACCGGGAGTTTGAATGCGTCTATAGTGACGCCACTGCAGCGACATGTAAGCTTCCGATTGGATGAAACCGCAACAGATGATTAACGTCAAGTGTATGGTGAAATAAATCCTATTATACTGTCCGATGCAAAGAGGTTGGTGATTGACAGTCGCAAGTGGAAAGGGGCAACGTTGACAGGTTGCGACTAAATAAATCGTACTGACGTACCTGTGCGGTGCGGGCGCGGCGCGGGGCGGGCGGCGACGGGGCCGGGGTTGGCGCCGGCGTCGGAGAGCGGTCTTCCGGGGCCGGGGCACTGGCGGCGCGGGCGGCGAGCGCGGGGTTGCAGGCGGCGCAGCGCCCGCGGCGGCCGGGGGGTGGCGTGCCGAACTCCGGAGGCGGCTCGGGCACCGGCGGCGCCCGCAGCCGATACACCCCCACGCGCTGCAGGAAACTGCGGGGCACGGAACACGCACGCATTGCATTCATAATATTAATAGTAAGCCCGTACAATATCTTTCGGGTAAAGGCCTCCCGGGAATCACGGATAGATTCTGAATAGCCACTTCTAATGTTATGAGTTTGTAGTACCCGTTAATTTTAATAAAAGTTTTTGAATTTGCATTAGCTAGAAGTTAACACCAACAATGTTCTACAAGAAGACTAATCATTAAAACTATACAAGTATATATTATTATTATTATTATTATTATTATTATTATTATTTGTTTAGTCTTAAAATTGCCTTACTGCATTGTCAATATTAAGTCTTCAAAAAATTTGTTCATCATTATTTTCAGTTATATTTCAATCAAGTCTTATCTGGTACTAAAACATGTTTTTAAATATTACTTGATTAAATGCATTGTCTTGAAGTGTGAATTTTCAGTGAATGGCAATTCTATTCCCTAAAACAAAAACTTATTGATAAACTTTTATTGGTGAAACTTTTTCCCCGATCGTTGTCCAATTTTAAATTGTTTTTCAAACGTGGATTCTGCTTTATGCTACATTTTTCTATGCGTATAAATTCTACATCAGTTTTTGAGTATGACTCGTGAACATTTGATGCACTTTGTTAACGCAGACTTTTCATTATTTTTATGAAAAGTAAATTAATAATGTTATTTATTCTTTCGTCTCTCCTCTTGAAAGTAAGTTCGTCCATTTCCAACCTTCGTCTCTAAACATTTACAATATGCGTTAACTAGCATATGAATTGTTACTGCGAGAACTTTTTCAGCGCGTATACTTAATAAATTGCCAGTATCGTTCATAAATCGTATTGGCATAACATTTCTTTTTGTTCTTGTTTCAAAAAACTGGAAATATATTTTAATTTTGATTTGGGAATTCATAATGTAATTTTCGTCAATCATACTATTATTGAGGTGTAAAAAGAAATAACTGAGTCGAGCAGTTGAAGAAATTGATAACTAGGAAAAAAGTGTTTCGCCTTTTAGTTACCACAAAACATATCATGACAAATATTTACAAAAATAAAATGTTTGTAGCGCTTGTATAGGGAGGTTTGTCAGAAAACGAGAAATGTTTACCAGTTTTACTTTTGAGAATGGAAATACTTTTGCACTTGACCTTTGCGTGGTGTTTTCGAGATTTTTCGAGTTCTGTGTGCGTTTACTCGAGAGGCGCCCTCTTATGGTCTCATTGGATCACTGAGTGAGGTCAAAGCAAGGAATTTGACCTGAATGAACTATAGAAAACAGATTGTGTTGAGCTATGCGTATTGAAGGTGCGAATGGAACAAATGTTTGCATCACGAGCAGGATGCATTAGTATTAGCTTGCTCCTACATTTCTGAATTCGGAGGACATGCCTGGACTTGATTTATCAATAATTTTCGTGGCCGAACTCACAGGCTTGAAATCATTGAGAATTACACTACGTGTACACAGTGACTGACTTGCTTTTCACTTAAGGCTATGTGTCCCGACTCTAGTACAATTTGTGACCACCACGTGGCAGCACCAAAATAAGTAAAATTTACTTTACCGATAACGTCTGAACCAATGGTCTGATTTTTCAATCTGTAAACGGCATTTGACGCCTTTTTATAATAGAACTTACGCTACGAAGCCCTTTTTCCAAAAATCTAGCAAAAACGCGAATTTAAAATTAGTTCTCAAACTTCCGAGAAAAAAATTAAAAATATGGGCTTATAGCGCGATGGCGACATGTTTCCTGAATACAACGCCGTGACAATCATGCAAATCGGACGAATAGGAGCGTCGTAAAGTGAAATTTAGGAAAACACCTCGCCCCCTTCCCCTTTTGCACCGTTGCGTCACCCACCCGTTTGTTGTGGACCGTCTGTCGGCGCGGCGGCACGGCCAGGGGCATGCATACGTGTTGAATAAATTCCGTGGTGGTAGCGGATATCTTGTGGTAATCCATGGTATTGTATAGGAAATAATCTCCACAAAGTTAAAACTTTGTGGATATTATTTCCTTTACAATACAATAGCATGCATACGGTGAGCTCGTAATGCTCCCCTCCAACAAACATAACTGTAATTGGGGATTCAGCGACTATTTCCTCACCTTTTGCACTGTCACAAATCGTAATGCTTGGTGGGGATCGTGGACTGTACAAGCGTTCTGACGGTTGATACTAATGTTCCCGCTACCGTATATTATGTAAATCTGGATGGATTTAAGGTTTGGTCCCTTTTTCTTCTAAAAGTAAAAAACTATTGCAGTCTGTCTCACATGTTTCAGTCAAGTAAATCATTTGGACTAGTGGACGGTAGGACCCTGTTCCCATACTAAAGTCACGGGTTTTGCACTGTTTTGGTACAAAACTGCACGCATCTTCTAGTTAACTGTCCCAATTTGATTGATTTTGGAACGGCACTGACAGACCTTGCTCTAATTTGTGTAAGTTCGTGCTCAGAAACTTATAATCTCGAGTTATGCGTGACTGCTATCCTTAATTGTAAAATTCACGTTATTCATGTCAGGGACACTTAAAATGTGTAGGACCACCGAAATCTTAACCTTGAGTTTTCAACCTATTCCAGTACTTTTCCCCTGTACTACGTATGCCTAAGTAAAGTAAAAGGCAAAAGTATGGTTAAAGGCGGCTAAAACCTGAGTTCTATGAATCTTTATTCAAGACAGTAGAAGTTTAAATATGGAATACGAAGGCGGTAATACTAACCTCATATGGAAAGAGATGTCTTACAGAGAACACTAAAAAAATGACCACTAATTTTCGCTTTTTCATCTTTCTAAGTGTATGACGCCTTTTTGAATAATAAATTAAAACTATAGCATTTACTTGTTGAGAATGGCGTACTCTAACATTTAAAAGTGACTTTTCTACGGAAAGTTCATAAGAGTCCTTCAAATGATTTTTACCTAGTTCATTGAATCGCGTGATTGTTTGGATCGAACTTAAATATTCATTTTTCGTCGTTTGACGAGTGAGATGAAAGTACTTACTTCTTGGAACTATAACAAGTACGATATAGTATTCGTACACGAGTATTATATTTTTGGCGACACCATGTATCACATGTGAATAGGATATTTTTTTGATGCTCACTTCTTCAAACACCACCGTTGTTCTGAAATATTCTGTGTACTGAAACTTGAATTGGTGAATTTTCGGCTTCATCCTTAAGGCACATCGCAGCGTTCGACGCTTTGGATCAAAAGTAGGCAACAGACTCTACTAAGGTAAAAGATCGGGCTGAGATTCAGGCCGAGACGTCGCGAGTTTCAGATACTGTCATCGGCTCCACGCGATGTTTGATGTATTGATTGTGGTGAGGGAGACGGCAAGAACGACAGCAGTAGCGTCACGGCTGGAGTTAAAATCTCTGGGGGCCTTAAGCATGATCAAACTATGCCTCATAATAGAATTGTTATATTAAACACACGTAATAAAAATTCATGTGAACAATTTTTGTTGAAAAATCTACACATTTATGAATACATTTACAATTTGATTTATAAAATAATAATTAGAGGTTCCTATCCGGCTGGGACCGCAAGCGCTTATTTAGCCTACTGTGCATTAATTCACCCGTGGGTAGCGGTGGGGAAGGCTGCGTCAACACCGAAGAGGAAGACTGGCGACTTCTGCTGATGAGTCTGTTGTGTCAGCAGCGTGATGGCTGACGCCTACGGAGACATTGCCATTTTGCAGATAGATGGTTCTTCTATCGGAGCGATGCCTATTCGAGTAGAGGAATTCGTCGCACGGTAGCAGTCCTTATAGACTCACGTCGTCTGCTTGTTAAGGGCATCTAGATGGGTATTTTGGAACTTTGAACCAGATGAACTTTAAGGCTTGAAAGGAACTCTTTCGTGCTCCCAATCTTGGCTCAAGGCCTTCGTCGACACGCACGTGAAGGCGGCTTCCACATATTCATTATTCGGCGAGAAGCGAGCGACCGCAAGTTGGATGAGTTGATTGCTATTTGTGGAGAGACGAACATTCGGTGCTCGCCCTATCCACCACATTGCGGTCGACGATCAGTTTCCCCCTGCTCGTCGAATGCCGAATGTGGGGAGGAGGCCTTCAGCGGATCGAGCATTAACAATTCTGAGCCAAAAACGTCCATTTCGTCATAAAAAACTACTTTTAAGGAACCTGTGTTGGTGGGTAACCGCTCCTATGACGTACGTGGAGCCTCTTTCAAAGAGTCGTTCCTACAATTTTAGTCATTAATAAACAAAAGTATTTATTGTGACCAAGGTTAGACTACTGGACCTTTTCTTCCACCTGACCATTTCCAATAATTTAATTCAAATAAATAATTAAAAAAGAACGTACTTTTTAATGAGGCGAAAGGTTTCCGCAGGGCGTCAAGAGCAAACGGGGGGGGGGGGGGAAATTTAACATCCTCACAAGGTTTTGGTGAAGTGTAAGTTAACTTTTTTTTAAAGACAATAAATGTCATTAAAACGTATCTTGCGATTTGACTTGAAAAAATATTTTGGAATTTATGTGAAATTTTACACAATTTTTAATTATTAGATCCATTTGTCAGGAAGAAAAAAGAGAGTTCGAAATGGAACGTCCAAGTCAGGAGGGTCATTAGTGTTTCTAATTGTTGCAAAGGTAGGTGGCATTAAAAAAATATACTTTACAAAAGAATGCGAGGGCAATTTGCTGCTTACAAAATAGGGGAAAAAATGTTTGAAGACAGAGTCGGTAGAGTATGGTATGATAGTTTAAAATATTGAAGAGGAGGGGACAATGCAGTGTTCGCCATTTATCTATAGAATATATGATTTTCTATCGATTGTTGATATATGAATGTGCAAAATTAACAATTCCCGCGGAAAGTGACGTTTCGCTTCACAGTTCCCAGTAGAGGGCGAGGCTCGGAACTTTGGCCCTCGCGTTAACATAAAACATCATTGAATCTGTCCAAAGCATAATTACCATCCCATTCTCGGAATCGAGAGCA